CTTTATGAGATAGAGATTAACTGAGATGTCAGCTTTTAGTAATAATAAAGGAAGCGCTGCTCACATTCTGCCATGCCAAACCATGCACGCAGCAGCCCATGTTTGCTTTTCTGTTAAAAATAACAGTGGTTTGTTAATGTTGATGCTTAGCCTAAATAACAAATATTTTATCGGGAGTGTTTATGCTGGGATGTTGTGGAGCTTAGGAGATGTTACAGAACCATTTCATGTAAATTTCTTCGATGTACTGAAAAAGGCTATAGATTACTTTTATGTGGGCTTTTGCGGGCGGGAGCGGGACAAAACATGAATGTCGCGGGCGGGAGCGGGACCAGATAAGATATATTTCTGCGGGAGCGGGGGGGGGCGCGGGACAGAATCTTGCGGGAGCGGGCGGGAGGTCTCTACTTCAAATGCAGCCTTCGTAGGACGCAGTGTTTGAATTGGGACAGCCTTCGTCGCGCTTCCATGACGTAATCGGCCTTCAAATGGGTCCTTCGAAGGACGTAGCCTATGAATTGGGACACAATGTATGACACACTACACGAGAAGTGCAAAACGCACAAGATGTACTGTACCTTTAACACCCTGTACATGGCAATATTGCAGCTTTTGTAGAAGAAATAAACTGCTGCTGAAAAAGTTAGATGCCATGCAAAATGTAATGAGTAATTGCAACACTCATTACAAATGTAGTGGAGTACAGTACATATACCTGTTCAAAAATGTAGTTAAGTAGAAAGTAAAAGTTGCTACTTTGATACCCAGTAAAACTACAAAGTAGCCAAAAAGATACTCAAGTACAGTAACTAATTACATTTACTCAAATACTTTACACCACTGCTCATCAGCAGTGTTGTGGATGTGCAGCGTCTGTTTTCTGCTTTTTAAATTGTGGCAATCGACAGACTTACACACAAACTTTAAATATGAGGAGCAAAATAACATACAGTGTATCAGTAATCTCATGGACCATCAGAACAGGCGTAATATTAACTAAAACACCAAAGAAAATGAGGCTGTTAGGAATTACAGCCTATCTTAATGTCTAAAGTTGTGTCTAATTTCTTTTTCCCATTGGAAATGTTTTGTAAAGATGCATTTTAATGCTTTGCTGGCTGAACAATCTGCAGCTAGATACAACAGTATGATTCACTGCAGCCAGCCTGCAAAGGTCAAAGTTGAACTCATGTATGGTCAGGATGTGCTAGACATCCAATGCTTTTCCCTCCTGTCTGCAGATGCATCTGGTACACTGGATCACACACTTCACAGATCAAGACTGCTGTGATTAGAGTTCAGATGTGTCACTCTGATGAGAAGACACTTTAATATGAGATGTAAGCTGAGTGTGACATAAAGCTTCGCTCTGAGGCGTGAGCGAGTCATTCAGCCACATTCCTCACACACATTCCTGCAGAAAACCATCACATGACCACAGGAACCACTGACGTAGCCTCACAGCCAGACACAGGGAATACTGGAGACTAGTGATTTGAAACCGAGGCTTCCTGAACCGTTTGAGGCTTTCATCAAATTGTGCAGAAAAACAGTTCATTACTCGAAGCTTTTTAACACAGTGCGCATTAGCGACATCTGGTGGTCAGACTCGGTTTCTCCAGCCTATCTAACGAAACATCGCAGAGCAGAGAGGATGGTTTGAAAAAGTTTTTAATCTGTGCCAACTCGTGTCATGCGTAGTCCGGTCAATGGATTCACATATTGATCAATAATATAAAATGCACAAGTGTGTGATTATAATTAATAATTGACATGAGTAGTAGCAAAAAATATTTTGGGTGAGCTGTTCGGGGTCTCTGAGACCCCAGCTAGAACATGATAAAATGCAATAGATGTGTGACGTGCATTCAGTTTCTGTCTGGTGTTGAGGTTATTCTAAACTATATTCTACTGAATCCCAAATAAGTGTACACACACACAACTAAGTGCTGATTTTTTTCAAACCAGCTGTTCGCTTCTTCCGATACTGCATGGCGTTCGAAGCTTCAAACATAATCAATCACGTGGTATTGTCATTTCGATACGAGCATCGGCACAGTGTGTGATACAATAGTGCTTTGAAAACTGTGTCGGAGCATCGGAGCCAGGATCAATCGTCCCATCACTACTGGAGCCTGCAAACACTGCAGCCGTTTATTTGACTGAGCCCCTCTGGCAGCGCGAGGCGTCTGTTAGGGGACAAAACTGTCCCCAGAAGTGAGTTAAGCCAGACAAAATCTCTGAGGCCACTTTGGGACATTGTCGTGTTAAAATGATTCATAAATGAATAAATAATGTTGTTTTCTTTTAACAGCAGATTGAGTCTGTAGTCAGTATGCTTAGTTTTATATAGAAATAACAGAAGACCACAGTATGTCCTCATTTAGACAGCCATGTTATTGTGTGTGTGTGCGCGTGTACTTGTTTAGCTATACTTGTGAGGGCCAAATTTCCTCACTTATATAGTGAAAGATCAAAGATCAACCAACTAGTGAGCACATTTGATTGGTTTTCATTAGTTAAAAGGGCTTCTAAATCAGTAAAATCATGTTTCTATTTAAATCTTGGTCGCCGTGATTTTGCCAAGTAAGACATGTTCCTGGATCAACATCTTTTGTTGATCCTGGATCAACATTACTGTCCAAAAATACAGACTTAACCCAATCCCTACCCCTAAACCGAACCAAAATGTATTCCTAAAAACAGTGTGAAATGATAGCTGATTAACAATGGTGTAGAAGCACCTAATCCTGATTGTAAGCCTAAAACTGACATTTCCTGAAAAGTTATCTCTCAATTCTGATTGGTTGATTGGAATGATGTTGTACATGTTGTACTTGGTGAAATCATGCTCACGATGTTGATCCAGGAACATGTTATACTTGGTGAAATCACGCTCACCTTAAATGTAGTGTTTTGCATGTTTCTGTGATGGTTGTGTTTTAGGGATGAGTTAGGCCATAGAAAATATAATTAACCTGACAATGGACAAAACAATGGAAGTCTATGAGATAAGCTCACTAACATAGTGAAACAAACGTGTGTGTGTGTGTGTGCGCGCGCAAGGTTTCCATCTCAAAACTGATGTGCTTCAGTGTGTCACTATTGTCTAAAACAATGAACAAAGAGCCTCATGACTCACACTTAAAAACACTGATTTACACGACACAGACACAACAAGAGTCATAATGCTGTAGCAATATAACAATGTGATGCTACAGAAAAAGAACAAAACACTGTATAACATGACTGCTAGGATTAGAGTTTGTCAAGTTTTTATTGAAATTCATTTGATATAGTTAACATTGTTAAATCTGCATACAGCTAATATACATATTTCATAAGACAGCAAACATGAAAAAAAAAATTTAAACAGTTGCATGAACGATTTTCAGTCCTCATGCCAAATTTTAATTATATTGACCATTTTCTCAAGCATTTGGATAAAATCACTTAGCTTGATACAGCTACCTTATATAAATATAACCATTTCAAGATAAAAGAAGACTAGAGTAACTAGTTAAAGCACTGCAGGTGAAGACTGACGTCTGACACAGTGATGTCAGTCTGAGAGCAACACAAATGTCATCTAATGCCTGATTGCCAACAGAACCAACACAAGAGACTGACATTCGACTCGGAGCAGTATCTGATGAGCTCATCGTCCCGTGATGTCACCGCTGGCATGTGCAGTGTCCGCATGTCTCCAGTGCAGACACGTCACACTGTAACTATTGACACTAACTTAAGGTACCACAGATAGCCTTTACAAAATAAATGATTATACGTGAGGCTGGTTTTCAGTACTAATACTGAAGTGTTTCACTGGAGTCAGCTGCACATTGTACTGTTCTTTAGTCAGAAATCCTCAACTACAGGATCCAGATGTGTGCTTCAATGAACTCACAACCAACAGTAATTCAATGAAAATCCTTTCTTGTTAATCTAACATGATGAGTTTGGTTGATAATTAATAACAAACCACCGAAACCAATTGACTCCCTGTAATCTTGTTCTTTTTATCTTTAAGTCTTTGCTCAGCTTTGCCGATGGAAACCAATGTCAATGTCAATTCAATTCAATACTAAAAAAAGCATGAGTGTATAACAAGATCTGCAATAATATTAATGTTATGTGCAAATATGTGCAAAAGCACAGTTAGCTAGCTGTAACGAATTAGTCCACTGAAGGCGAGCGTAAGTGAGAACCCAAGTGCAGTTTATTTAAAGTGTGATCCAAACATCCAAACAATAATCCATGATTTGACTTGACATGAACAGACTTTACTTGACTTGACTAGGCATGAACAGACTTGACGAGGCATGAACAGACTAGACTCACCGACAGCGGGTTACAACATCAATACACGACGAGAGACAATGGCAACATGATGGCTACTTATAGCAAACAAGAGGGTCACAAGACAAGAACAAACCAATGGGAAACAAGACACATGACTAAGACAACCAATCAGAACATGACACAATGAACAAGAGAACCAATGGCATGAATACATGAGGGCAAGGGAAGCATGACACAAACGCAGCCTTTGCCTTGAAAGGACAGACAGTGAGTTCATGAACGGCCTCCTTGGCCGTAACAGGACAGGCAGTGAGTTCGTGAACGGCCTCTGTGGCCATGACAGGGCAGACAGTGAGTTCAAGAACGGCCTCCATGGCCGTAGCAGGACAGGCAGTGAGTTCGTGAACGGCCTCACAGACTCATAGGCAGGAGAGGCCACTGGGGCAGATTCATGGACAGGAGAGGCCTCCGAGGCAGATTCATGGACAGAAGAGGTCTCTGGAGCAGACTCATGGACAGAAGAGGCCTCAGGAGCAGACTCGTTGACAGAAGAGGCCTCAGGAGCGCAGTGTGCAGCCCACACGCTCAAAATGGCGACCACCATTACAGGAAGGGCAGCAGAGTATGGCAGGACCTCTAAGACGGCGGGGGCTTGAGAGCGCTGACGTCACCGGGATGCCTGCAGCTCTCACTGACATCAGTGGTAAGTCCATCACGCTAGCTATCAGTCCTTTCAGTCCAAGCCCAAGCTCCGCATCCGACTCAGGCGTGGTGGCCATCTTGGCCGGGGACTCAGGCGTGGCGGCCATCTTGGCCGGGGACTCAGGCGTGGCGGCCATCTTGGCCGGGGACTCAGGCGTGGCGGCCATCTTGGCCGGGGACTCAGGCGTGGCGGCCATCTTGGCCGGGGACTCAGGCGTGGCGGCCATCTTGGCCGGGGACTCAGGCGTGGCGGCCATCTTGGCCGGGGACTCAGGCGTGGCGGCCATCTTGGCCGGGGACTCAGGCGTGGCGGCCATCTTGGCCGGGGACTCAGGCGTGGCGGCCATCTTGGCCGGGGACTCAGGCGTGGCGGCCATCTTGGCCGGGGACTCAGGCGTGGCGGCCATCTTGGCCGGGGACTCAGGCGTGGCGGCCATCTTGGCCGGGGACTCAGGCGTGGCGGACATCTTGGCCGGGGACTCAGGCGTGGCGGACATCTTGGCCGGGGACTCAGGCGTGGCGGACATCTTGGCCGGGGACTCAGGCGTGGCGGACATCTTGGCCGGGGACTCAGGCGTGGCGGACATCTTGGCCGGGGACTCAGGCGTGGCGGACATCTTGGCCGGGGACTCAGGCGTGGCGGACATCTTGGCCGGGGACTCAGGCGTGGCGGACATCTTGGCCGGGGACTCAGGCGTGGCGGACATCTTGGCCGGGGACTCAGGCGTGGCGGACATCTTGGCCGGGGACTCAGGCGTGGCGGACATCTTGGCCGGGGACTCAGGCGTGGCGGACATCTTGGCCGGGGACTCAGGCGTGGCGGACATCTTGGCCGGGGACTCAGGCGTGGCGGACATCTTGGCCGGGGACTCAGGCGTGGCGGACATCTTGGCCGGGGACTCAGGCGTGGCGGACATCTTGGCCGGGGACTCAGGCGTGGCGGACATCTTGGCCGGGGACTCAGGCGTGGCGGACATCTTGGCCGGGGACTCAGGCGTGGCGGACATCTTGGCCGGGGACTCAGGCGTGGCGGACATCTTGGCCGGGGACTCAGGCGTGGCGGACATCTTGGCCGGGGACTCAGGCGTGGCGGACATCTTGGCCGGGGACTCAGGCGTGGCGGACATCTTGGCCGGGGACTCAGGCGTGGCGGACATCTTGGCCGGGGACTCAACAAGAGAACCAATGGCATGAATACATGAGGGCAAGGGAAGCATGACACAAACAGGGAGCATGACTAAACTACTAAATAAAAGACATGAAAACGTGAACAAGAAACAAAACCCAAACCCCACATTAAACTAGCACAGCAGTTAGCAAGCGTCTTGTTTTTTTATGAACGTGTTTACTGATATAGGTTGCCAGAATGTAACAATTTAGCAAATGAAAAAATCCATTCATACGGAGCACTTTAAGATTATATGCATATAGATGAAAATACTGTGTCACGTATGTAAGTAAAACGGGTGTTGATAGGGCAACCATGCTAGTAGTTATGCTATCCTCATATATTACTCCAATAACGCTCAGTGTAAACGTCATCATTCCACTGTGTGGCAAATGTCTTCATCAAATACAAATCCATTAAACTGTTGGGAAAAGTCTCTTGTCCAGTGAGCCTCATGAATGAATACTCTATATTTTTTTCAAAGCTCAATGTCAAAGCTATGAGCCATAGGGTAAGTTATATTTGAATACTCATATTCAGACCTCACAAACCTACCTTCCACAGCGCTAGTGCTCCACTGGCAGTGTTGGGCAAGTTACTTCCAAAATGTAATACATTATATATTACTAGTTACTGTCTTTTGAAAGTAATTAGTTACATTACAATATTACTGTCTCTGAATTGTAATGCGTTACACATTACTTTAATGTTGTGTGTGCGTGAGGCGCCAGCGCGATCGAACAGCGTAAACAAACAACAAAAAAATACTGTTATTTTTGGTCATACAGATCATTCGAAACTGCAATGTGTTTACTTTATTTCTGTCATCTCGGTTTCCTTTCCGTGGACTTTCATAGAGCGCCGCGCCACACAAATAGCATATGAACCAAACTCAGCAGCATAGCCTATCTTTCAGTCTTTTCCTTTCGTTTTGTTAATCTGTTAATTAGGCTATTTAAGTCAAATATTTCGCATATTCATTAATTTTATAGACTATGATTTAATAAAAACACATTTTGTTATTTTTAGTTAAACTTATATTTGTTGCTTGTCTGCCCTCGTCCGCCGCCTTTTTTCTCTTCTCCGACCCCGCAGCTCTCTCCGATAACTCGCGCTATTTCTAAATCAAAACACATTTTGTTATTTTTAGTTAAATTTATATTTGTTGCTTGTCTGCCCTCGTCCGCCGCCTTTTTTCTCTTCTCCGACCCCGCAGCTCTCTCCGATAACTCGCGCTATTTCTAAATCAAAACACATTTTGTTATTTTTAGTTAAATTTATATTTGTTGCTTGTCTGCCCTCGTCCGCCGCCTTTTTTCTCTTCTCCGACCCCGCAGCTCTCTCCGATAACTCGCGCTATTTCTAAATCAAAACACATTTTGTTATTTTTAGTTAAATTTATATTTGTTGCTTGTCTGCCCTCGTCCGCCGCCTTTTTTCTCTTCTCCGACCCCGCAGCTCATGTTGAGAGTTTGGTGTCGCACATATTGCACCTGACTGCATTCTTATCCTTTTCTCCGACGAACTGAAAATGACAGGAGTGTGTCCATCTCACAAATGTAGAATCCGTCTCTGCAGTCATCTCAAACATCTAATTCCAGCAACAGGAAATAGACAAACTATTTTACCCGCGGAATTTTTTCTCTGGTGCTGTTTTGCGGTATTAGTAAATTCACCACTTAATTTTGAGTTAAAATGTTGTTGTAACTTGCGTTACTGAAATTGTAACGAGTAATAATATTACCCAAATTTGATTAGTAATGCGCTATATTACTGCGTTACAGCAAAAAGTAATATATTACCATCAGGGGCGTAGATTACGTGGGGGACGTGTCCCCCCCACTTTTAATATCACGTAAATTCGTCCCCCGCACTTTTTCGGGCAAGTGTGTTCACATGGAGGTTTTCAAGAGCCAGTGTCAATAAATATAAATTTAAATTCAAAGAGACAGGATAGCCTGTGCATGATCTGATGTTTTATTCGGACCCAGAATAAGGCGAGATGAACATCGCGGAGTGCTAAACACTCCGTGCAGTGTGTGTTTCAATCATACTCGAAGCCGGAGGGCACTCACACGCAGAAAGTCTTACCAGGAAATTCCTAATATGGACAAAAGCGTCCAGCTATCACTGTAAGAAAACAGTTGTTTTCACAGAAAAACAGAAATGTTTGCGACAATATATGGTTTATTTGTGTTTGTCAAGTCATCTCCAGGTAATAAATAAAGTATATGAACAATGCAGTGCTAACTGACATAGCATTTATTACAGTATTGAAA